AGATTCTCAATATTCTTTGGTATAAGAAAATACCGGGGATACATTTCTTTGACTCAGTGAAAAGTCTGGCATGTGTTCTATGAAATGTAAACAGGGAGATAAATTCTTTCCTCAGTAGACCTCCCTAATGAGACCAAGCCTGAAAAACGACAGGCTGCTACAGACTCAAACTGTTGAGTTTAAATCTGTTTTCATGTAAATGTGCAACAGACTGACAATTGATTGAGACATACACATAATAACATAATACTTCTTCAAAAGGTACTAATTTGTTTCTAGAAAGTCATGCTCTCCAAGTCATGTCTTCTAAAGACATGGAAGTTGATGAATGCTTACCAGGAGCAAAATAATTCTACCTGACCATATTGCAGGTGCCAGAGGTTTAGTAGAGTCAGTGTTCTTTTTTTTTTTGCTGAAACTAGATTTCATACAAAAGGATAACGGAAACAGAAAATAAAAGCTAAAGTGTAAGAGGTAGCAAATTGTATCCCAGAGGTACTGACAACTAATATTTGAATTTACTGTTGTTCCTCTTTTACAAGGTTACTTTTGTACAGAAAGTCTTGAAGGGGACTACAAATCCCAATGACATATCGTTTGTTTGTACGGAAAATACTTAGAAACTGCAATGCCAGCCAAGTATGACCACAGGATTCAGCAACAAGCCTTAAAAATATAGGCCCTTATTAAAAAACAAGCAATTTCATGTTTTCAATTTTTTCCTCAAACAAGATATTTCCTTGATGCTTTAGAGCTTCTCTGTTTCTAGCAAGGGACAGAGAAAGATGAGAAAACAATTAACACTGCTAAAAAAGAAAAATTCCTAACCTGCTCTAAACCAACTGTCCTGCTCTAAACCAACTGTCCTTCCTTCTTTCCTGTTCAGCCCATAAACTTACGAAACTTATTACTTAAGTAACACCAACTTAATGTACCACGAAATGTAATAGTCGATAGAGATTTTTCTCTCTTTGCTCCCTTTGGTTTGAAAAAGAGGAACTGAGGATGATTATATGGGTTGGGTGCTTCAGTCACAAGTTGCTTACATGCATGATTACCCTTAAAAATTTCTCTTCATTGTTTTTGACTCACACATCATTGACATAAGGCCTACTACAATGGGAAACTGCAAAGATCATTTAATGAAGAATAATTTTGGATTAATTCATTGGACAACTATGTTTGTGGGAAATAACATCAGTAAAAATGCTGTACATGTAATTCAACTGAACCTTTTCATTACTTAAAGAGCAAAAAGATTAATTAATTTTTGCTGTAGGGCATTTCACATTTGAATAGTTATATTTAAGTGAAAAGCTTGGAAGGTCTCCTCCTAGATAATTAATTATAGTCTTGGAGTCTAGTGAGGAGACACAGGAAAAATACAAAGCCCTCCAAAGGGAAAAAAGTTACATACTGAGGAGATTTACACAGGGACTAACTACATGGATTACAAAAATTTACTAACAGCATTACGTGCTATCAGTATATGATAAAAAAAAAAAATATTTTTGTAAGTTTAAAAATGGACCTTGTTAGTAATTTCCTAAAAAAACCCCCCAACTTTGCCAGAATATGTCACTTTGTCATCTGAAGAACTGTTTAAATGTCAATAAAATTTCACCACAAATCAGCCTAATCTTGTGTCAGCCTTCCTAGAAAAACAGTCTGCCTGGAGGACACAGAAATTTACAACGCACAATTCATTCTGGAAACATCAAACTGTTCTTGTGCATTGTAGGTCCATGGAAGAATTAAACAGTTTGTGTCTTTTAAATGGTAAGAAGTAAATTAATCCCACTATCTAGTATTAGTATATTTAGAAATATTACCATAGAGTAATTTAGGTTGGACAGGAATTCTGAAAAATCAGTCATCTTGTCCATCCCAAAGCCAGGTCGAGTTATATCAGGTTGCTCAGGACTTTGTCCAGCTTAGTTCTGAATATCTCCAAGCGTGAAGATTCCACCACCTCTCTGGGCAACCTGTTCCGTATTTGACCACTCTCACAGTAAAAACACTTTTCATAATAGCTAACTGAGTTTTCTAGTGCTCCAACTTGTGTCCAGTGCCTCTTACACTATCACTGTGCATCTCTGGGAGGAGTCTGGCTCTGTTGCCTCTGTACCATCCCAATAGGTAGTTGGAGACTGCAACAAGATCCCCACTAAGTCCTCTATTCTTAAGGCTAAACAAGTCCAGTTCTTTCAGCCTTCCCTTCTACATTAGGGGCTCCAGCCCCTGATCATCTTGGTGAATCTCTGCTGGTCTCACTTCAACATGTCAATGTCTATTTTGAACAAGCCCAAAACTGGATCCAACACTCCAGATGTGGTCTCCCATGTGCCAAACAGAAGGGAAGGATCACTTCCCTCCATCTGCTGGCTGCCCTGTTGTTAATACCACCCAGGATGCACATTGCTGACTCACATTCAATCTGCTGTCCACTAGGTCCTTGAGGTCTGTTTCTGCCAAGCTGCTTTCCAGTCAATACTGGCATATGGAGTTTTTTAAAAAGAGCGTGGCCAGCAGGTCAAGAGAGGTTCTCTTCCCCCTCTACTCTGCCCTGGTGAGGCCACATCTGGAGTACTGTGTCCAGTTCTGGGCTCCTCGGTTCAGGAGGGACAGAGATCTTCTGGAGAGAGTCCAGTGGAGGGCCACAAAGATGATTAGGGGTCTGGAGCATCTGCCTTACGAGGAGAGGCTGAGAGAGCTGGGACTCTTCAGCCTGGAGAAGATTTGAGAGGGGACCTTATCAATGTCTATAAATATCTGAAATGTGGGGCCAAATGGATGGGCCGGGCTCTTTTTGGTGGTGGCTGGTGACAGGACAAGGGGTAATGGGCAAAATCTGGAACATTGGAAGTTCCATACAAACCTAAGGAAAAACTTTACTGTGAGGGTGTTGGAGCACTGGAATAAGCTGCCCAGAGAGGTTGTGGAGTCTCCATCTCTGGAGATGTTCAAAACCTGCCTGGATGCTTTCCTGTGTAACCTGGTGCTTTGGCAGGGGGGTTGGACTAGAGGATCTCCTGAGGTTCCTTCCAACCACCACCATTCTGTGATTCTGTGAGTTATTCCATTGTAGATGTGGGACTGCAATTGCTTTTTTAAACTTCATAAGGTTCTTGTTGACTCAATTTCCAGCCTGTTGAGGTCCCTTTGAGAACCTGCTCTCCAGTGTATAAACTACTCCCCCAAATTTGGTACTGCCTATGAACTTGCCAAAGGATGCTACTATTAGCCAGCTGGACTCTGCATTGATGATTGTATTTCCTTGAGGCTGGCGTGTCAGCCAATTTTCCACCCACCTTATAGTCCATATTTCACCAATTTGTCAATAAAGATATTATAGGAAAACAAATTGTGAATTTGATTCCAACTGGTATCTTGCCTAAAATAACTCACAGTTCTTCTAGATAATACAATTTATTAGTTACTGGCTGATAACAGACTAGCAGGATAGTCTGTGAAGTTAAACCAGGGACCGTGAATCATATAAAATACCTATTCCAACTGCAAAATTAGTATCTGCACAGGGGAGCAGTTTCACATCAAAGACATGTTAATGTTTCTATTCATATAAAAATACAAGTTAGATAAAACCCTAGACTTCAGGAAACCAAAGTTTATCCTGGAATGTCTGTACAGATAGGTTTGTGAACCCAAAGGTTCGTGTGTTTTTCTCCCGGGTGAACACCAGTTAGTCTAATAAAAGATACTACCTCTCTCTACACACTTGGCCTCAGAGAATGAGAAAGAGGGATCATTCTCAGAGAATGATCATTCTCACACTCAGAGAATGATTATTTTAATCCCATGATGTGCAATTACTAGCATTCTTACCTCACTCTTTTTTTTTTTTTTTAATTTTGAGACAGAAACTGAAGCTCACCTGGAGCAGAGGAAGTATTGCTGTGCTTCAAACTGCTGTCTGGAAAATGAAGAAAAGTGTATCTAGGAATCATAAGCTTGATATAGCTCAGTATTAGAGAGTAAATAATTATTGTGCATGTTCAGGTAGGAACAATAAATCAGTTGAAGAGATACTGTCAAGGAAAAAGAGGAGGTAAGAAAAAGGACCTTCCTCTTAAATGAAATCTGAGCAATATTTTCAGTGTAAAGTCACTTAAAGAATTGATATTTATATTACATATATAAATGCACCATATGCAGTCAAAAGTGCTTTAAAATATTAGAGACCTTTTCTATAGTCTAAATTTAAAGGTGGAGTGGAATAAATAAGTTGACTGTGTTCTTGGAAGATGGCGCTTATTTTCATACCATTAAGGATGGCAAGTTATACGTTTCACCATTACATGCTACGGTACTCACACATCATGGTTCTATTTTTATTATGACACTGATGTAACCACACTAGAGCAAGTGTATCTAGCCCATTAAGTATCAGTGCTGATAATTAAGGTGTATTTTATTGCTTCTTTCAAATATTTTTAATGCCTGTTTGGTAGAACAAATGACATCAAACGACAAACTATACAAACCAAGACCAATAAGAAATTAATTATTTTTTCACCTGACATTAATTTCCTTCACAGAAAGTAGGATATAGTCTAATGCTAACACATGTATATTTTTAAAATTTCTATGAGCCAGAACAGTTGCAAGGAATGTGGCATGAAACACAAGGTCCAAGAAAAACAATATTAAAAAGCTGAAACATGCATTAATTTGAACACTCTGAATAACACAGCCTTTAACTGCCCAGATTATAAATGTGTACAATATACTAGTGTTTATTTCTCTTTTAAAATTCAAATATATGTTAGTAAAATCATCGCTTGCATTATTTCCACACATTTTATTTACATGACAGATCTAAAAATTATTTTATGAAGCATAAGATCATTTGACAGGTATAAAAGAACAGTTAAAAACAAAACAGTAGTTTGCTTTATGGTAAAAAGAGCATCATTATGGCAAAAATAACTTTCTTCAAAGTAAAGCTCCCCAAAGGATTGAATAATTCTGGAAAAATGCTATGGAGATGTTTTCTTCTGCAGTTTCTTGTACCATGCAGGTGCCTCTTTATTTGTCTGTAAAATAAAGAATATTTTAATTGTCAGACAGTGAAAGTCAGAAGAAAAACATGCAATCTACACTAAAGTCTCTTTCCTTCCTATTTAGTTCACAGTGATAATTGAGTGCTTTGCTTAAATGCAAATAAATTAAAAACAAGACTATGCATTTAAGTTTATTATTACTACATATCTGTATTAAAACCTCCCTATTTCTAGGTTATAAAAAGCAGACTGTACAATAAGAAGTAAATGACTTGTTTCAAAATATCTATCACAAAGAAAACATGCATCAGCTGTGCTATAAATAGGTTTCATTTGAAATAGCATCATCTGATTTATCCATTTGAGAAGGGGATGGAACTTAGAAAAGAGGTCTTAGGGGTGCCATAACTGAAAAACACTTTATGTAGAAATATAGTTTTTAAAAAATGATAATTAAAAGAACTCATCAGTTCTGACTGTAGAAAGTATTTTAATCACAGAGAATTATCTGTGAGCAATTTTGCCTTGCCTTCATAATCCTATGGGCTACCGCTACACAGTCAGGATTGCATAACATTCTTGTGGCAAATTCAGTGGTTGTTTGTATAGAGAAATAAAACTAAGTAAGTGGAGGTGGAACAAGGTAAGGACTATTCTGCTTCCAGGGCTGGGTTTAATCTCTTGCGTTAGTAAATACTGTCTCTTTGTCTGTTGTCCCTAAACTTGTCCCTTTCTAGTTCCATTTTCTGTCTGGTCTCTATTCGTTCTTTCCTCCAAGACTATTCAATTTAAAAATTGACTTTATTCAGCTGGCCTTGTGGTGGGGGTTCTCATAAAATTTTAATCTCCATCTTTCTCTCATTTTGAAGATTTCAATTACAAAAGTAACTGAAAAAGTAGCTGTTTGTGCAAGCTTTTAAAATTCTAGAAGTTGACCCAAATTGGCAAATTTTAATCTCCATCTTTCTCTCATTTTGAATATTTCAATTACAAAAGTAACTGAAAAAGTAGTTGTTTGTGCAAGCTTTTAAAATTCTAGAAGCTGACCCAAATTGGCGGGATTTTCACAGGATTACTAACATTTTTCCCCATCTAAGAAGAAAACATGCCATCTGCCCATTTTCAGTTCTCTACTCCAAAATCTGAAAAGACTAGAACTGTTCACAGAGAAATTGGTCACAATTTCTAATTGTAAAAGCATTTTTTTCTAAATTTTCACACCATTTCTATATCCCTAAGTAGGACAGGAAAGATTTGAAATAAGCTAATTGTTATTTCACACTTTGGATCACTGAATAACTCTGTCAAATACAAAGTTTGGGCAGTATGATTTAGCATTACTGAACGGATTCTGAGTGAGACAACACTGGGTATTAGCCTGTGTTTAGTCTCATAACACTATCCAAGCAAATTTTGAACCCCTAAAATCCTCAAATGCTCTTACAACACGTCCAAGAGATGCAAACATTTCCTACATTTTGTATTATAAAACCAGTATCTGATGTGCTACGAAACAAACCTCATATTGTTTAAGATACTGAACTTCAAAGTCTCCACCAGGAAAAAAAAGAAAAATAAAAATAATTAAAATTTTTGGACCAAAATAGCACATATGCTATGCAGTGTGGATACAACCAGTCTACCCTCAAGAAAGGTATCCTCAAAAATGTGTGCATAACAGTCATGATTTGTGATTCAGCATTGCAACATGGCTCTCAAATTTATCAGTTCAGATGCAGTCATAGTCAGAAACTTCTAAATAATTTTCATGAAGTTTTCAAATACTAGAGGCACTACCTCTGAAGCAGGCCACATGAAGTATTTAAATTCAAGCATTTAGGTTTTAAGGGAATAAAACAGGGATTTATAGTATCAGGTATCCTTAATAACAGAAGTGATATCAATACTGAGCATGTACCTCTTTTTTATATGTATTTAGATACACACACACACACACACATTAATATATATTAATACACCTATTTCCTCACTCCTCCTCCTCAATATGTATATACACACACTCAACTCATAAATGATAAGGGTAGATTTAAAATTGTTTACATAGTCTGTGGAACCCTTTGGTTATTAAAATTTTGCTATCCATTCTTAATATTGGAGCATTATAATGGCATTTTTAGGAAAAAAATCTACTTTGCTGTGAACATAAGACGTAGAAACTACCAAGTAGCTAAATAACATCATAGACTGTAATTTATCTCCTCAGCATTGACCATTCCCATAAAGAACTGCAAGTATTCAGCTGAAATAATTATACATCTCCTTGAAGTATGAACCCACAGTTTTCTTTTTAAAAAGTGAGGAGAATTATCAAAAAAGCTTATGACACTTACTCTTATCATAGTACTTACAAATAACGTTGGCTTAGGTGTAAACACATTTTCTTCCTCAAGTTCTGGCAGCAGTTTCACTGAAGGGTTTGATTTGTCTTTTGCAGTTGCACTTTTTACATCAATATGAGACTGAGGTAAAATTTGTTCATAGTGTTTACCATGCAGACTAATTAGAATCTGTTTCATTGTGGCTAGTTCCTATAAAACCACAAAAGAACAATGGTAAGTTATTCAGTAAAGTTACATTTGAACCTATTAAATATTTGTTAATAAGAAATTTATATTCACCAAACTAAATGTGTAAGTGGATCAGTAAATCGAACAAGCAGGAACATATACTTGCCATAATTAAGAAGGCTACTAACTGGACTTTTACTAATTGTAAAAGTAAGAAAATAAAAAAAAGGCACATAGGATTTATACAACTTATTGCTTAAAGGACATAAAAGATAACATTTACTGTGTAATAAGGAACCCACTATTTCTTTTAATTTAAGCTTCCACTTAATTAAAAAAATAAACTGAATTTGTTTTGTCAGGCCAAGGGATTTTACAAATCTAATTTGAATGACTGTGACAAATTGTACTTTTGAGCGCTACGTCTTGCACAGAAGTCTTATAAATACATTACTATAAATATATATGTTTTTGTATTCAGATCAGAAAAGAAAAATAAATGAAAAACCTTAAGAGGACCTACCACAAAAATGGGATCAGAGTAGAAAAGTAATTTTGTGAAAAATGAAAGTTCCAACATGAGAAAACAAAAACAAGAGCATATAGAAATGCAGACTTTTTTGGATATTCTAATAATTTGCTTTATAAACAACTTGGATTAATTTAAAAAGTAACCTTTTCTTACTACTTAGCTGAACGAAACAGATTATTAAAAATGTACAGTAGAGGGAGAAAGGAAAAACCATAGTATTTTTTGACTCTGGACATCTTCTTTTGTCATCTTGTATCACCTAGTGCCTAACGTTCTCTCCCCCCACATGTAGTGGGTGTAAATGCTATAAAATAAGTTAAAGAATTTGAAGCATTATTTACTACTACTACTATTATTATTATTATTATTATTATTATTATTATTAATTGTACTATTATTATTTACAGCATTCACTATTACAGAACTAGAACAGCAAGGTCTGTAGAAAAGCCTTTCAAAGTAAATTTCAAGACAATTTTACATTTTTTTAATCTATTAATGCTTTTGCTTGCTTGCTTTTTGCAAATGCTGTTCTCTTCAAAAAGCAATGCTCTTAATGTATTAGCATTCTATATAATTAACATTCTACCTTATCTCTCAACCAGAACAGGGTAACTCATATTTAGAGCTGAATGACAAATGTTTGTTATATCTTACCTATTTCTTAATACTTGCCAGAAAATTACTGATGCACTTTTTATTTTCATTGCATTATTATGAGTTAAAAAAACCCCTCAGCTTTTAAAACACTCCTGCGATATACCTCCTCTCTGTCCACTGCTGCCTTTAATACAAGATACAAAGTCAAAAGAATCATGTTGTTGCCTTTAAATTGTCCCACACTACCTCAGTTATATGAATGGATGTTATGCTCCACAGACCAGCTTTATCAAGTGTACAAATTGTTCTTGTATCTCAGTCATTTAATATTAACTATTTGCATAATTCAGCCATGTGTGGTGGCATGTTGAAACAGCATGACTGCAGAGCAGCTGTTTCAAAGGACTGCATAGTTGATGCCAACATGTTTTTCAAAGTTGTGAACTCTGCAAAGATGTTGCCAAAGCGACACATAGACAGAATTTCTTGATGAAAATAACTCAAGCAAGTATACAGCAAATAAATACACCATCACAGGAGATTAATTGTACATAACCAATGTTTTGACATTAACAAGTGCTGTTCCTATACTTAAACCGCGCTATTTTGTGGCTCAAATAGTTGCGCATTTGAACAAGGCAAAACCCCAAAACTGTCACGCAGATTTAGTTCAGAAACAGGAGTTGAAATTTGTATGTGTAGGGTCAAATTCTCTTGTGTCAAGATCCACTCAGCATTCGAAGGTCTTCTCTACTTCACAGAATCGGTCCCGTACTTGACAGCCCTGTCTGTTTTCAGACTTGGAATAGGCTCTGGAGAGTCAGCTCGCACACGAGCTTCCCCTGTGACAGGAGAATTCTCTAATATTAGGTTATGGGAAGGAATGAGAGGGAGTGGGGATGACAAATTAGCCCACAACAAATAAATTACGTTGGCATCACAGCCAAGTTTATCATGAGAATTTAACTAGAGTTGCCTTAATAATTTTTCCAAAATTCTTCCACATTTTGTGAGAAAGAACTTAACAAACTTGGCAAAATAGCATAGGAAACACCGACTCCAATAGAATCATTGGTATGTGTACTGCTAAACAAGAAAAGAAAATTGGCCCAACTCATTACCAAGAGATTTGCTGTTTTCAACCAAGGAAATACTGAAAACAATGTTCTGTCTTGAACAGTAATAATTTTACCTACCTCTTTAGATTTCTCTGCTCCTGAACACAATCTTAATTCTTAGCTTCACTTTTAAATGCTAAACAAAGAGGCGTTAGCACTACCTGCTACTGTTAGCATGCTTCCATGATTCAATAATACTTTCCAGTCCTAAAAACTGGCAAATTGGTCTAGAAAGCTATCAAGGAAAAAGAAGCTCTGAAGATGGTGCTTAACAGAATGTGAACTTGTTCTAGTGTGAAAAGGACCTTGAGAAAAAAGGGGGAAGTAGGTATAGAGTTCAAAATGGATGGGAAGAATCTTTTGTGTAGAATGACATGTATTAATTTCAGGATAAGCTAAGTACAGGAAGTTAAGAGACATGGATGGTTAAATTTTTTATATATTTCTACTGTGTCAAGTCCATGGTCCTATGTCCAGGCAGAGCTGTGCAAACTGTTTACTTACAGTATTCACTTCAGTTGTTCAGTGTACTGTAGAAACAGCATTGCTAAAGCTTTGCATGTCCCATTTTCTCTGTGGAGGTATTTGGTCCTTGCCATGCTGGCTCCTGGATGTATAAGCAAGACATGTTATGCAAAGTGTGTGTCACTGTGTTGAGGCTTCCAGGTCTGAGGGCTTTGGCTTTGGAGAGCCAGACAGCAATCCTTCTTGGGAGGACTATGAGTACTAACACCTCTGAGTGGATTCACCCAGCTCTGCTCTGTGCTGGCTTTACACCTTTGGTCTCACACAAACACCCACTCCCTGCTTATACAATATTCTGTGTGGATGTGGCAGTGCAGATACACAGAAAACAATGGAGTTAACAGGAACACATGGGTTAAGATGAAACAAGGGAAAAAATAAAGTATGCAGCTGGCACAAAACCACTGTTTAGGTACAATGAGTGTCAACCATACAAACAAGTATCAGGGCTATACTCTATTATTAAGTATTTTGAAGGTATGTCCATAGAAACCTGATGAATTTTTGTTAAAGATGATAACCCACTCTGCCTACCAGCATAAATGCCAAAAAACAAAGTAATGAGCATTAAGTGGTATTTAACTCAAGCTTATAACACCTAAATTTATGTGTCTCAACTTAAGTATCTACACATGAGCTAGGAATCTAATTTTCCATTACAGACAGTGTAGCTTGGAAAATGATTCAACACATTCAGAAGTTCAACACATATTGACGTGTTGGCTGAATCACGTTGTAAAAACACGAGCCGTATTGACTCGGCTACTGTTGACTGTAAAGCAAAGTAAGGTGTTTACCTCAATGCAGACACCTCCATTTAGATACTCAAACTGATAAACTGAATCAATTTATCATCTCACTCTCTTTATCATTTACTTTTCCCAGCTTTCTACTTCACCTAAAACAACTTTCATCCTGAACAGCCAATGTACAACCATAATTCCCCTTGCACCCACACCCAAAGTATCAAATTGCTGCGTTAAGAAGAACTGCATTTTTAGAACAGAAATTCAAACCACAGATCTACTTGTGTAAGTTTTCCTAAACGTACATAGGTTCACACTTTAGAACAATCTAACATCCTGAATTCCACTTACTTATGCACATTAATTAATATTTAATTAAAATTACTTGAACTATAGAAGTATCATTGAAAATTTTGCACACATAACCAGAAAGTAGCCACAATTCAAAATAAGTGATTGGAATGAAGGGACTGAGAGCAATGGGAGCAATGTAGCAGGAGGTGAGGTAAGGTAACATGTATTGCATTGCAAATACTGTCAGAAGAACTCACTTGCTTATTTCCATTTATTTTTGCTATTGTGATGTCCAACAACCTTAGTTAAAAATAACAAAAGCAATTTTGTGTGCCAATACACAAACAGAGAAGGAGGTATTTAGGTACAGACAAAGGATAGGCACCAGTATTTTCCATGATGTTCATTAATTGAAATGTTTTCTGTTTTGAGATTTTTCCCTAATTCTACCTTGTTAATTTATTAGGCTGTATTCTATCGGTGCTGTTGTTGTGGAAAAATTACAATCTGCAAAAACTGTATATCATATTAAAATAAACAAGCTTTAAAACAGTGTTAAAGGAACCAAACCAAAGAAGTTATATTTTATCTAAAATTGGTTTTACCTGTTTATTATGGATAATTGAAATAGTACCTAGAAAAATGGAGACTGAAAATCAGTTTGGGAATACGAGGGATAAAATTTTATTCCTTCAACTAGCAACGCAACTAGAAGAAAGAGACGTGCAAATGCAAAAACAAGGCATACAGCCATATAAAATATAAATGTATTTCAAGTTACAGATACTATAAAGGGATCTCTATTAACATTGGTTTTGTTGTCCTTGATAGATGCTCAAACATACATATACCAGAAAAACATCTTAGATTTTCTTAATTTAATTTTTCTTAACAAAAATTCAAAAGTAGTATATTAAATATTATAACAAAATCTTAACTTACATAATCAAAATTAGAAATAATTGCATGATACGTAAAATGACTGAGGCATAAAAAGGAATGCTGTTTTATCAAGTAAATAACTGATGAATTATATGAAAAAATTGCCTACATTAAGCACAATAGATATTTATCAAGATAGTAATTCCATTTCTTTTAAATGGATTATCAACAACTATAAAGGTTTTTCTTCTTACTGTTTCTGTCATGTAACTATAATCAAAGCAAGAAAGAATCATCTCTGTGCACTCAAAAGCCTGCAAAGGC